AAAAACCGAATGTAGCCGTTATATTGGGGTCTATACGACGTGGACCTGCATAGGCAACTTTTGTCGTAAGTCTTTACAATATTCAAACGCGAAACTTGGAAAAAAATTCGGTGAATAATGTCGCTAAAATCATCAAGATGCCGAATATAGGGAGGTACCATATGTGGGGGACTTACCAAAAACGTGGACCTGCACAGACAATTTTCTATCATAGGCTGAAGTATCCTTTACGAACATTCAAATACGACATCTCAACAATTTCGGTGGGTTTTGTATCTAAACTCGTCAAAATAACCGATATAGGGAGGTACTGATATATGGGGCCTATACGAAGACCTGGACCTGCAATAGACAATTTGTCTGTCATTAGCTGTAGTATCCACTACGAACTTCAAATACCAATTCCGGTGAATAATGTCGCTAAAATCATCAAAAATACCGAATATAGGGGAGGTACCATATATGGGGGCAATACGAAGACGTGGACCTGCACAGACAATTTTCTGCCTATATATCCAGTACGAACTTCAAATACCAAATTTGAAACAATTCCGGTGAATATTGTCGCTAAAATCACCAAAATACCGAAAATAGGGAGGTACATATATGGGGCTATACCAAAACGTAGGTCACGTTGGCCCATTTTAAATACCAAAAGTCATGCAGACATACATTAGAGTAAAAATTTATCAATCTACTTCATTTCGTTCGGGAATCTAGAATGATTTCCACAGACGGACGGACATTGCTAATCGACATAGAATTTTATGGCGTTTATTCTTTTTTCCGCTTTGTAATATCTTCCCAAGACAGGGCCCTCAGTAAAAACAAAAATATTTTCTTTTTTATTTTAAAATATATATTTTGTTTATTTTTTATAAAATTGTTTTTTTTTTATTGGAATTTTATTTACTAACTTACATAACTAATGGAAGAATATCAATAGAGTGTAACAATAAAAAAAACATATAAAATTTATTATATTAAATTATTTTTTTTAATTGCATATAAAAATTCGTATATATAAAATTTGTAATTAATATAAAATCTATAATAAAACAAATATATTGACTTATAAAAATGAGATTTTTCGTATTTTTATTTGGAATAATTTTATTAACATAAAAAAATATGCAAATATATATAAATAAACTTACGTATATGTGTATAATAAAAAAAGTAAATTTACAAAACACGAAGGCCTTAAAATTAAAAAAATAGATATTTATAAATTGATATAAAAAAAACAAAAATCTCTTGCATGAAATTAAAAGAATTATATATAATTGCAGTTGTGTGTGGGTGTTTTATAAAACAAATTAAAACTAATTTAATTATACAAAAAAAAAATCATTTATTGCTTTTTCTTAATTTGAATTTATATATTTTTTCATTTTTTTATATAAACAGTTCTATTAATTATTGTATATTTACAAAATATATGTTTTTTTTTTGGTTAACTAATTTTGGATTTTTTGTAAATTCCTTAAAGGATGTGTTTTTTGTTTTTTAACAGAGCCTAAATAATTTAGCTCCTTAGTATACATGATGATTAGTTTTATATAATATTTGTCTTTTTATTTTTTTTTTTTCAAATATTATTTTGAAATATAACTTTTTGTTGTAAAAATGCTCCCTAATTCTAAAGATTCTTTGGAATTGTCTTTGTTTAGTCTGTCCATTTTTTTTTTTATTATTATTTTTGGATTAATTCTTTGATCTTTGGTGTATTTGCAATGGTTTATAAAATTCCTAAAAAATGAATTCAAATGACAGTATGTTTTTAATGAAATTGAAAAAAAATCGGCCATAACCTCACTTTCTTGGCAATGGAGTATAAAAAAAGTGAGGTTAGAATTGTGAGAGTAAGAAGTCACGCACTTTTCTCTTTGGAACGAAAATGCCCAATGCCAAGGTAATCGTGATTTTTTATACCCTCCACCATAGTATGGGGGGTAAATAAAGTTTATCATTCCGTTTGTAACACACTCGAAATACACATTTTAGACCCCACAAAGAGTATGTATTCTTGATCAGCATAAAATTCTATGTCGATTTAGCGATGTCCATCCGTCTGTCCGTCTGTGGAAATCACTCTAGCTTCCGAATGAAATGATGGTGATTTAAGCGACATTATTAGCCATAATTTTTTCAAATTTGGTATTTGAAGTTACGTAATGGATAGTAAAGCCTAAGACAGAAAATTGTCTGTGCAGGTCAAAGTCTTCGTATAGCCCCCATATAACGGTACCTCAAGATATTGGGTATTTTGATGATTTTAGCGACATTATTAGCCAGAATTTTTTAAAATTTGGTATTTGAAGTTCGTAATGGCTTATGCAAAAATTGCCTATGCAGGTCCACGTCGTCGTATAGACCTAATATAACGGTACCCTCCCCATATTCGGTATTTTAAGATTTTAACAGAATTTTTAACGGATTTATATTTTAGAAAATTGCCCAATTCGTTCCAAAAGGTGGAGGGTATTCAAAGATCGACCCGGCAGAACTTACAGCTTTTTTTACTTTTTTTTTTTGAATATCTAACCTCAATTTTTCAAAAGTCCAGCTAGGAAATAAAATACTTTACATTTAGCTCTATTTTGATATCACGATCTCCCCACGATTTCCCCCTAAAATCCATACATAAAGCTCAAGATAGGTTCATATATTCTATATTAGAAAAACATTTTTTTGTGAAAAAAGGAGTTTTAAGCCATCCGATGTACATAACCTCACTTTTGGTCAAAATTTAAATTTTTTGGTTATGTTCCATAAATGCTGTATTGCTTGCCCTATTTCTCCTTAAAAACTCAAATTGTTTTAAGAATTTTTTTCAGAAAGTATTGTTTTATGGAGAAAGAAAATGTGCGCCCTAACCTCACTTTGAATAAAGGAATTTAAAATAGGGTTATTTTTCTCTACACATGAGCTTATATGGGTCTTAATAAGCCGCTTAAATTCTTAAAAAAAGTTAAAATTTTCGAACATTTTCTATCCTCACTTTTGAGGATCTCAATACTGAAATTCTCCAGATTTATGTTATGCTCTTAATGCGGGGTAAATTTGTTTCACCTCAAAGCAGGTGTAACATTCTAGGTTAGTTCAATTTATATTTGAAAGTATTTTTTTTGGATAAAGGAATTGAAAAATGTTGCTTCTCCATAACCTCACTTTGAGTGTTGACCATCATATAAATAAGGGTAAATTTTGGAAGGATGCTACCAAAAAGGCAATGAAGTTATGACAATTTTTAAAAATTTATTTTTTCCAGACCTAACCTCACTTTTAGGCCTTCTATATTATGAAGTAGTTCGAAAAAGGCTAAACTAGGATTATGTTCGTACCGTTGGCCCAAATTATTTTTTCAAAGAAATTATCAAAAAGTGGACTTTTTCATTTATAACCTCACTTTTGGGGGTCTAAATAATGGAAACCTCCCCAAAGTCTACATAGAAGACGACACACGTTTTTTTTCTTCTTAAAGCAGATCTAACATTCAAATTGAGTTCAGAAATTTTATATTCGAATTTATTTCATTATGGAAAATCGGGGGGTTCTCCCTAACCTCACTTTTGATGTGAGCCATAAACTAAAATATGGGTATTTTCTCAACGGAAAACTCCCAAAGCCTACATAGAGGACGGTACTCGTTTTTTTCTCTTAAACCAAATTTAATTGAGTTCAGGAATATAAATCGAGTTCGGAAATGTCATAATCGAAATCGTTTCATTATGGAAAATCGAGGGTGTTCTCCCTAACCTCACTTTTGATGTGGGGCATAAACTAAATTATGGGTATTTTTTCAACAGATGACCTTGGCATTGTCCATAATATCTAATTTTAGACAAATTGAAAAATATAACTAAATTTGACTTCATTTTTCTCTCCAAAATGTTTACAAAAAAAAAGAAAATTTTGTGGTAAACCTCACTTTTAGGCTTTTCTTCCTGAACTTCCTGGCCACTGAACACTCAAGAGAAGCTCAATAAATTTTATATCAAAAATTATTTTTTATGCCAAAAAAGCCAATTCGAAAAAAATCGCTTCTCCATAGCCTTACTTTTTGATTTTATGAATTATTTAGATTATTTTTTTCTACAGGCGGGCTTGAATTTTAAAAATTTTGAAATGTTTTTGAAAATTTTTTTTCAAAAATTGCATTTGGCAAAGAGACTTAAGGTCCATGACTTCTCACCCCCGTACCCCCAAAGAAAGTTGTACTCTATGCTTTCTAGCTCTCCCTCTCACTCTCTCTGTCATTGAGAGATTGTTGAATTGCCACCCAAACCATTTTGTCTCACCATCCAACTATTCCATTTTCACCACTGTTTCCCGTTCAAATTTCCGACCGAAATCGGCCAGATTTTGTGGCAAAAAACTATGGAATTGCAAGAAATTCTGTTGTTGCTGCTGCTGGAGATGATGTTGTTGTTGTTGCTGCTGTTCCAATTGGTGTTGATGATGTTGCAACATCAGTTGGGTACGCTGGTATTCGTAATCATCATCCATGGAGGGGCTACGACTGGCCGCCATTGGCAAATGGGCCGAGGAGGACAACATGTCATGTTGGTGTTGTTGTTGCTGCTGCTGGTGATGGTGTTGTTGTTGTTGCATATGTTGCAACTCTTCCATTTTAATGTTGTTGTTATCATTGGCCGATATCAAATCACCATAGCATTCATATTCCTCCGTTGAGAGGGATGGTGAGGCTTGTCCGGCCGCCGTCTCCTGCTGCTGCTGATGGTAGCTATTCAGGGGACAGTGGCTGCTGTGGGCATTGGAGGGCGGTGAATGCTGTAGGGCTGGGTGTTCGCCATGCTGAGGTGGAGAGTGTTGTGAAAGCTGGTTGGGATGGTGTTGCTGTTGTTGCAGATATTGTTGTACCATTGCCGTGGGGCTGTGGGGGGTAGGTGAAGTTTTCGTGGTGTTGTTGTTGTTCGGCGAATTCGGATTCATGCTGTTCGAACGTTGTTGCAATTGCGTCAATTGCTGCAGATTCAGTTTGTCCGCATGCTGCAGCTGCTGCTGTTGTTGTTGCATAAATTAACAAATGACAGATTGCCATCATTAGCGTTTGGTTCATTAAATGTGGAATTGTTGTTGTTGTTGTTTGGCGATGATGAAGCTGATGAGGCATGCTGTTGCTGATAGGCCTGCAACTGGCCAAGCTGCTGCTGATATTCATGTGGTGACATATTTCCCAAGTTATGATGATGTTGTTGTTGCTGTTGCATCAACGGCGATGTTGGTGACATTTTCATGCTGTTATTGTTATTATTATTATTGTTGTTGTTGTTATTACTTAACGTGTGATGATGAGAATTACTTGGCGATGGTAAACTAGTCGTGGGTGATGTAGCCGCCGATTGGGTTAATGATGATGCGGATGTGTTTAATTGTTGTTGGTGTGTTAAAGGTTTAATATCTAATGTCCAAAGGGAGGGAGAGAGAGAAAGAGAGAACACAAAAAAGAGAACACCATTATTAGTCTTGTCAAACCCAAAATGTTGTTATTCTTTTTTTAAAGCCAATGAAAAGGATTCGGAACTCACCATTATCGCTTAGATTCAGTCCGGAAATATTTCCATTGGAATTTTCATTGAGGCCTTGCTCCATAGTGCTGGAATTTGCTGCTGCAGCTGCTGCGGCGGCGGCAGCGGCTGCTGCCTGTTTCTTGCTCATTTTTTCGGCCTTACAACCCTTGGGTTTGCGTTTGCGGGTCTGGAATGGTGGAAATAACAATTAATAATTTTTAATTGATTTTTCGAAAATTAAGTATAGTAAAATAAATTGTTATGTTTTGATAACTTTTTTTAATTTTTTCATTTTCAAAATTTAAAAATTACAAACTTTTAATTTTTTTTTCGCAAATTACACTGGGCAACACAAAAAAAAAATAATTAAGGGGAAAATCCAGCAGATTATGAAAATAGAGCTAAAAAAAGAAGACACATGTATCGGCGTTTTGAAAATTTACAACGCAAAGTAACCAAAAAAATGGGTGAATATCCCCTCTCCTCCACACTTTTGGGAATTTTCGAATTCAGATTCCTCGCAACCCAAACATTTTAGGTATATTATGTCTTCGGCAATATTGTAGATAAACATACGAGGAATATTTTAGTCGAGAATGTTAACCCTCGAGCGAGCCAACAAAGGGGTCTTTTTGGTTCTTTTTTGAAAATATGCTCAAAAACTCCCTTTAAACGGCATCGTAGCAAATCAAAATATTCCACAAAATTATTTGTCATAAAATTCTACTATAGGTCTCAGAAGACGTCAGGAGTCTTAATCTTACCTAAACGCCAGGAAATCATATAAGAAAAACACATTTTAGGGTTAAAGAGGTACTTAATGCGAGTTTTTGCAAAAATCTCCAAAAAAACATCATTTTAGAAGGATGGCATTAAAGACAAAAATATTCCTCATCAAATTTTACCATAAGTCAGCAAAGAAAAGATATGTCTATTTCCATTGGAAATCGAAAAAAAAGGATTGCAATAATTTTCCCAAAAAAAAAAAACCGAAAATATTCCCTGATTATTTTCCACAATTTTTCCTCGGATTGGAAAATATGGCCAAGACTCTTGCAGTGATAAAACCAGTACTATCACTTGTTCCCTTAGCATTTTTCAAAACCCAGACAGGGCTATTGTACACTGAAATTATAAGAAAATTAGTTGCGAATTGGGATAAAGTTCTAAATTTATCAGAAAAAACAAAGCTTTTTATTAACAAAAATTGATGATATTTTGCTATGGTGCATATTAAGTATACAAATTATTTTTACTTTAACACTTTTCCCAAAAAATTAAATATAAAGGGAGATTTTGACTCGGTCTGGATACATGTTAAATTGACAGTACAAAAAAGCAATACATAATTTTCACCTTTAGTACACACATTTGAAATTCAGTTTTCATAGAAACTATTACACCTAGAGACATAGTTTATTCTGAGATTTATAGTGAAATTTTGTAAAGAATATTTCATCTTTAGACACCTTTCGCCTAAAATGAAATTTCATGTTACTTTCAGAAGTCAACTCCAAAAAAGTCCAAATAAATGTATGAAAAAAATTAGAAATATTTTCACTTTTTTTGGCTATGTTGATGCAAATATTTTCATGATATATAATGGAAATTGAAATTTTTTCTTTGGTAACCCATATGTAATTTTATGTACAATAATTCGCCCTTTAATACTTTCTCCAAAAAATGTTGTTTTAGGGCAGATTTTGACTTACATTGGAAATGTGTTCAATTGGCAGTAAAAAAGTATACACATAATTTTTACTGGTAATCAATACATTTCAACTGAAGTTTCCATAAAATCTATTATACCTAGATATATAGTTTATTCTGAGATTTATAGTGAAATTTTGTGTAGATTATTTCCTCCTTTGACACCTTTCGCCTAAAATGAAATTTTATGTTACTTTCAGACGTCAACTCAAAAAACTTCAAGGAAAAATTGTTGAAAAAAATGAGGGAATTTTTTCTTTCTTTTTTCGGAAATATTGGAGCGAATATTTTCATGATATATAATGGAAATTGAAATATTTTTTCCTTGGTAACCCATATTGAAATTTTATGTACATTAATTCGTCCTTTAATACTTTGTCCAAAAAATGTTGTTTTAGGGCAGATTTTGACTCAAATTGGAAAGGTGTTAAATTAACAGTAAAACGTATACACATAATTTTTACTGGTAATCAATACATTTCAACTGAAATTTCCATAAAACCTATTGTACCCAGATATAGTTTATTCTGAGATTTATACTGAAATTTTGTGTAGAATATTTCCTTCTTTGACACCTTTCGGCTAAAATAAAATTTCATGTTACTTTAAGGCATCAACTCTAAAAAAGTCCAAGGAAAAATAGTTAAAAAAAATAGGAAATATTTTCTCTTTTTTTAAGAACATTGATTCACATATTTTTTGGATATGCAATGGAAATAGATAATTTTTTTCTTTGGTGACTTATAGTGAAATTTAATGAAGAGTATTTTTTTCCTTGATGATATCCTTCTAAAACGATGATTTGTTGGAGATTTTTGCAGAAACTCACATAAAGTACGGGTTTAACCCTCAAATGTGATTTTCATATATTGAATTCCTGATATTTAGGTAAGAGTTAGGACTTTCAGGTCTTCTAGGACCTATAGTAGAATTTGATGACAAATAATTTTGTGGAATATTTTAACTTTCTACGATCCCATTTAAAGGCAGGTTTTGACCATATTTCCAAAAAAGGACCAAAAAGACCCCTTTGCTGACTCGCATGGGGGTTAAAATTTTCGGCTAAAATATACCTCGTATTTTTATTTGAAATATTGCCAAAGACACTATATATCTAAATGCGTGGATTGCAAGGAATCTTAATCCGAAGATTTTCAAAAGTGTGGAAGAGGGGGGAACTTCTTGCCCACCTCTGTTCCATTACTTTGCGTTGTAAACTTTTAAGAATATCGATACACTTGTTCATCTACTTTCATAATTTAATTGATTTTGCCCGTAATTATTGTTGAAAATTGAATTTTGTAACAAAAAATGTTCGATTTGAATTGAAAAAAAAAATATTTTTTGCCAATTTCTTATAATATTCAAATTTCAAAACCATTTTCAAAAAAAATGAAATTTGGTCGCACAGTGGTTAGTTTTTCGAACATGTTAGATTTGAGATTTTTTTTGTAATTTTTAAAATTAAATTTTCCAAATAATTTTCAAACTTTTCCCAACTTACCTGTATTGTATCCTTTTTCATGGTCAACGGACGCTTGACACTGTGCAGTTTATAGTAGAGGCCACAGGCATTGCACACTGGCTCGCCATTGGGATTGCGGCGCCATAAGGAGGTTTGGGTGGTCAAACAATTGGAACAGGTCAGACCGGCACGGCGGGAGGCACTCTAAAGGGAAGAGAATTATAAAATGAATACCAATTTCTTTTTCAAAAATTTAAAATCAAAAATTTCAAAATTTAAATTTAAAAAAAAAACAAAATTTTTGAATTCGATTTTGTTTTGTGAGACGACACCTACCAAACGTCTGGAGGTAGCACGACTAACAACATGTTCCTCTTTTAGGTTTGGCGTTGAGCCACTGTTGTTGTTGTTGTTGCTATGTGGGGCAGTGTTGGGTGTGCTGTTGTTGTTCCGATTTGTAACGCTAAACGCATAGCTCTTATAGAAATCCCCGCCCGATCCAGCGGCCACTGTAATTAAGTAAGTGGTGGATTGATTTTCATTTTAGTAAAAAATTATTGCAGAAGAAGAAAAAAAATAACGGTTTTTTTTGTTAAAAAAAAAAACAAAAACAATAGAAAAAAAATAAAAAAAATCTATTTTTTTTGGTTTGGGGGTTTTGGGTTAATTATTTATAATAAATTCAATTAATTTTTTTTATTGAGGCTACTTTCGATTTCTGGCAGGCATTCTTTCACGAAAAGCGAGAACGTATTTGCATTCAACAAGAGGGCTTAGGATTTCTATAAGATTTCGGATTATTTCGGTTACTGTAATAACTTGGATTTCAAAATTTAAATTCAAAAATTTTGTTTTTTTTTAAATTATTTTTAAAAGAGAAAAAAAGAGATATTTTTTTGTTATGTTTACCAATCTTCGGGGTGGTTTTATAAGGGGTCGATTCATGCCATTCATTTTATGATAAAGACCGCACGCGTTGCATAAATAGTGTCCGGTGTTATCACGCCGCCACAGTGGAGTTGAAATCGCACCGCAATTGACACATTCTCGCCCCTCCGTAAAAAAATCCGCATCGAAAAATGCTTTATATATAGAAAAAATTGTTGTAGTTGTTGTTACATTTACATTTGTTGTTACATTTTACAATTGTGACAAACAGATAAGTGCAGAGGGGTGGGGCAAAGGGTGCTGGGTAGTAAGTTATAGTAAGAGAGAGAGAGAGAGTAACAAAAAATTATGTTGTTATGGCAGAAAATGATTTCCGTTACATAAAAATGCTTGTTTGTGGTGTGTGTGTGTTTTTTAAGAAATCTTTTCTGCATTTCATATGTGTCTGTCTGTGTGTGTTTTTTTAATTTTTGTAAACAAAAAAAATTAATTGAATTTATTATAATAAATACATTTTATATGTAATAATATATATAGTGTTTGGAAAAATGTTAGCATGTTATGGCATAAAAGTGATTAGTCACAAAATTATAACAATAAATGATAAAAAATATATAAATTATAATAAAAAAAAACTATAGATGAACGAATTTTCTAATTTTGCCCTTTTTTCAGAATAACATTTTCAGAGAAAATTGGTTGTTGTTGGCTAATAATTAAATTAATTTGTTTTATTTAATAATTTTTTTTATTAAATTGATCTATTTTATTTACCTAATTTACTTTATTTAATTTGTTTTATTTTATCAAATTTGAAAAAAAAATACTTCTTTGAATTGTTTTCGATTTTTTTTTCTTAATTGTGGGGTTCCTAAATGAACTAGTTCAACAAAAAAGATATATTCCCTAAAAGGAACCATTCGAACTAGGTCAAGGTCCTTAGTTTGTTTAGTTCCATATTTTTGTTTAGAGAAAGTCTCCAGCTATACCATTGCAAAATGAAACTATTCCGTGGAAGGATCATTCGGAACTAGTGCAATTTGATACATATAGTTCTAGTTAGTTCCCTTTTATTTTAAATAGTTTCGGGAATATGTTTCTGCTCAAATGTAGCAAACAAAATGCATATATCTTCCCGAAAGGTATTTTTTTTAATGCCTTAGAATTGTGGGGTTCCAGAATGAACTAGTTCAATTCAACTATATATGTGCCAAAAGGAACAATCCGCACTAAATCCAGCTCTTTAATTAATTTAGTTCTCTATTTATGTAAGGAAAGTCTCCGGTTGTAGCGTTGCGAAATTAAACAGTTTAATAGAACTATTCCGTGGAAGGAACATTCGAAACTAGCGCCTGCTCTAGTTCCATTAGTTCCTTTTTGTTAAAAAAATGTATGGAAATGTTGCATCTCAATAATAAATTTCTCATTTTCAAAATTATTTTTTTTAATTTCTTTGAAACGATTTGATATAGCCCGAAAATTGGTGGGATTCCGAAATTACCTAGTTCACTGAAATTGTGTATTCCCAAGTAGGAATAATCTGATTTTTGTCCAACTCTTTAGTTCCTAATATTTTAGACATTTTTCGAGTTGTAGCTACTTAAATTATTTCAATGGAACTATTTCATATAAGGAACATTTGGAAAGGTATTTCTGGTATTGAAAGAATTTTTTAATGCTTTGGAATTGTGGGATTCCGAATTTAACTAGTTCATTGGAACTATATATTCCCAAAATGGAACAATTTAAATCAGTTCCAACTCTTTAATGTTTTTCTTTTTCAACACTTCTGGATTAGTAGCATTTCAAAATAAAATTGTTTTTATTTTAAAATGCTACTAATCTTTCCTTGAAAGGAGTATTCGGAACTGGCTCTTTGATAAAGCCAGTTCCTTTTATTCGATATAGCAATTTTTATTGTCTGGATTCCTACAGCTCTACTATTAACCATCATTTTTTCTGTTTGGAAATCGCATGTATTCTAAGCAGCGTTTCCACAAAAGGAATGTTGGGTAGTTTACTTAGTTCGGTACGTAAATCGACTTTCCATTTAACGTTCTAAAAACGACTTTTCGTAATTGATTTTCTATTTTGAAATAACAGATATTGGGTACTTGACTAGTGTTTTTTGGATTTGAGATACTATTCTTTAAATAATGCCCAGTAATAAATTGCAAAGCGATTTTAACGATTCTTTATAAAATAAAAGATAAAACGACTTTAATTCGAAATTATTGAAATTGAAAGTCGATTTTTATATCGAAAAGTAGACATTTTTACGAAAAGCATAAGTCAAAGAGTGGTAGGAAGAGTCTCCTTCCTTCATTTATTTTAAATATTTTAAAATGCCAAAATCTGTTCGATTTCGAAATCGACTTTTAACCAATTGAAGTAAATCCAGAGTAGCTAGTTATTTAGAAAATTTCCTCCTACTTTTTCTTGCTGTGTACAATTATTGCTCTGTTCCAGAATCTGCAAGAATCTATGAGTTCTGCATTTTTTTTTTTCATAAAAAAATTCTTGCAATTCAGGAACGATCTCATGCCAATCAGAATAAATCCAAAGATCGTTAAGAGGACTTGTGTTCAAAGATCTAAAGTTGGACATTCGGATTTTTCAATCCCTCTTCATTCTTCGATTTTTTCTATAAAATATTTATATAAAAATTGTTATTCGCCGCAAAAGAAAGTATTAAAAAGTATTCTCCTTTTTTGAGGAAAATAAAGGATATCTTAAAAAGAAAATCTCAGAATTGCCTAATTTCCCCTAACATGTGTGGATGTGTTTGAAGTCCTAACACGTTCTCATGCACACACACATTTGTGCTATTTCAATATTTGAAAAGGATCAACAAATACAACAGCACAAATTATAGTCAAATTTACACAGCTTACATAAATAGAACAGAGAACAGGCCAAGGGGACTGGCACGACACGAATTGCCTAAGTGGCCCGTCTTGGGTAATTTGTGGTGGACAGAGCGGAAAATTCCAGCTCCGGCATTTGTCTTCTTTTCGTGTAAATTGAGAATCTGTGAAATGTTTCGGTATTTAGTTAAAAACCACATCCAATTGCTTGTGTAATTTAGCATGGTTTTTTTTTTTTTTTTTTGAAATGGAATGGTTTCCTACTCTTAATTCGTATTGGACCCAGCAAAATTTCACAAAATTGAAAACAAAATAATATTTCAATTTTTTTTAATTTCCTTAAGTGTGAACGAATCTTTTTTCCACTGACTGACTGACTTGTGTGTTTTTTTCTTCTCGTTTTTGTTGGAATGGAGGTCATAACCTTTTTTTCTTAAAGTATTTTATGGCATTGTTGTTCTTTTTTCGTTCATATATGTTTTTTTTTTTAACAAAAGCTTATCAGTATTGAAATAAATATAAATTTATATACATATATTGAAAAAAAAAAAAGAAAACATGGGGACAAAGCTTTAATAACTCTAACAAATAACAAAAAAATAATGAAAATTAAAAAAGAACAAGTGACTTACTGGCTGACAAAGAGGCAGAGGCTGCCAAATTGGCATTGGCTCCCGACACCTCAGCGGCGGTTCCCGAACGTCCATTGAACACAGCATTGCGTATGACATTGGAGTTGGCCAGGGCATTGTTTAGCGCCTGATTTGCCATGGAGGCAGGTGCATAGCTAATGGCCTCATAGTTGGACCAGGAATCAGCCTAAGAATGATTTCGAAAAAAAATAAATTATAATTTTATATTTCAAAGTATATACCATTACACTTACATGACTGCGATAGTTATTCAGTGAGCCGTAACGTTCAACACCACCGGCTGCATTGGCTCCATATGTGTTGCCAGCAATTCTTTGAAATGCTGGCAAGGCACCACCCGACGCCGCCGCCGTCGTTGAGTTACCATCACCTCCGCCCGCACTGCTGTGGTTGCTCTTGGGTGAACCATTCTCATAATCATCATTATGCGTTTCATGTGCACCACCACCATTCGAGGTGGGGTTGTTGTTTGCTCCAGCTGTTGCTGCCGGTGAATTGGCCGCATGACCACCATTGGTGGGTGTCATGGCCTGGTGATGATGATGCGTTGGCGGTGGCGATGAATTTGTACCCATAATATTGGCCGTTTGTATGCCATAGGCACCCATCCCACCACCATTGGAGGTGGCCGTAGCGGCCAACAAGGGGGCGGCATAAACGGAACTGTAAGAAAAAACAAAAAAATATTATTAAAAATTCCAAATATTCAATTTTTTTAAAAAAAAAATCGGAAATTATTTTTTTTTTCAATTACCTATAACAATAGTTCTTCAAATACATGTTGTTGTAGTTGGAGAAAAACATCTTCAAAAATTGTAATTTTTATTTCAGAAAATAAATATCAATTCAATTTAATTGTCATTTTCTTATTAATTAAGAATTATTTGTGGCTGGAAGTTTTGGCATTCACTGTAAATTCGATCATTTTTATTACGGATACAGATTTAAGGCATGAGTACATAAGCAGCTTGGCATCATAGCTGGGCATATTTATGTCAAATCATAAAAAAACGGCGACAGGATTCGAGTGCGACCAGAGCCGCACTCCCTTTATGATATGTCACAAAATAGGCCCGGCGAAGACTTCAAGCTGCTTATGTAGTCACATCTTTATTCAGGTTAATTTATAAGAATTGAAAAAATCCGTTGCACCCATCCTCAAAATCCCTTAAAAAAAGACTCTGAGATTCCGTTCTATGGGGAGTTATAAAAATGTGAAATATTTTTTTTAAGAAAATTATGGGAATCGAATTGTCTAAGTCTAAGAAAGGATTGGACTTTCTCCCTTCCCTATCTTAAGTGGAACCAGTTCCATTTGGTTCACTCGTTCAAATACTTTTATTCAATGCTTCAATTGTTCCTTTTAGTTCAGTCGTTTCGCTTTTGTTCTTCCTTTCTTAAATATTGATTATATTTTCTTTAATTTCCTGTCTTTCCATTCTATTTACATTTAGATCGTTCAAATATTTCTTTATAAAAAGGATTTTAGTCGAGTTCCACTTGGTGAAATCGTTCATGTGATTGCTATACGTTCATCTTTTTTTTTTCTTCCTATCGTTAATTTTTGTATTTTTTTAAATCCCTTGATATAATTATCTATTCTTCTTTTTATTTATTTCCTCAAAATAGAAAACTAATAGTTTGATCATTATTTTCATTCAGTGGTTCCATTCGGCTAGGAACTAGTTCATTTTTCCCACTCAGCACACTCATTATTAGTTTAATCACTAATTTGAAATCAGTCTTTCATGTTCCTTTCTTTTATCTCTAAGAAAATAATTAGAACTGGGCAAAGTAGTTTACTAGTCGGATCGATCTTTCTCGTTCCTTTTCTTGAAGAAAAGCAACTAGTTCCTTTGCTAACGTTCCCATGTCTTATTAGTTCAATTGTTGTTTTCAATTCAGTAGTTCATTTTTTTGTCTGTCAAAAGTTTTCCGTTTATCGTTACATTAATATTCCATTTAAATATTTCTTATATCGGATCGGTTTTCCTCGTTCCTTTTCTTTAAGATTAACTAGTTCCTTTGCGAACGTTCATATGTGTTATTAGTTCAACTTTTGCTTTTATTTCAGTCATTCCTTTTCTTTCTAACGTTCTATTTACATGGTTTAAATATATCTTAAAGAAAATTATTAGAGTTTAACAATGTATAATCGGATCGAACTTCCCGTTCCATTTCTTAAGAACAACTAGTTCATTTGCTAAAGTTCATATCTTGTCTTATTAGTTCAATTGGTCAGTCAGTCGTGCGTTTTTCTCTATCACTAGTTTTAGCTTTCTATCCTTCAATTTACATGGTTCAAATATTTCTTAGAGAATATGATTAAAGTTTGGCATTGAAGTTCACTAATCAGATCGATCTTCCTGATTCCTTTCCCCAAGAGTAACTAGTTCCTTTGCTAACGTTCATATGTGTTATTAGTTCAACTTTTGCTTTTATTTCAGTTATTCGTTTTCTTTCTATTATTCCATTGATATGGTTTAAGCTTTTCTCAGAGAAAAATATTATAGTTTGGTCATGCAGTACAATAATCGGTTCGATCTTCCTCGTCCCTTTTCTTAAGAGCAACTAGTTCATTTACTAAAGTTCATATCATGTCTTATTAGTTCAATTGGTGCTTTTATTCAGTCGTGCGTTTTTTCTCTATCATTAGTTTTCTTTCTATCGCTTATTATTTCTATATATTTCAGAAATTATTAGAGTTTGGCAACGAAGCTCAATAATCGAATCGATCTTCCACGTTCCATTCCGCAAGAGTAACTAGTTCCTTTGCTAACTTTCATAGCCTGAATAGTTCAATTGATGCCTTTAAATCGATCGTTCGTTTTCCCTTTTATCAATAGTTTTCTTTCTATCGTTCCATTTACATTTTTAAATATTCTTTAAAAAAAGGGATTCGATTTTGGCAATGCAGTTCACTAAACGGATCCATCGAATCAAATCTCAGTAGCAACCAGTTCCTTTGTTCCATTTTTTCCCCTTCCCATATATCTTCTTAGATGGATGGATCGTTTTTGTAAGTATTCCATTGGAGTTGGACAATATTTTTCACTAAACTGATCGAACACTCTCTCCTTACGGAATTTTTCCATAAAATAACTGGTTCCTTTGTTCTCAGAGGCTTAATTTATTATTAATCAGAAAAAATCATCACTACTACTTTCTATCCAAAAAAAAAAAAATACACAAATATTTCTTATAAAGATGACAAGAGTGTGACAATACAGTCTACATTCCTGTTCCCAAGAGGAACTAGTTCCTTTGTTCCATTTAGATCACGAATTCATCGTTGTTCTTAGTTCGATAGTTCCTTTTTCGTTCAATTATTCCATTATAGTTGGTCTGTCTATTTCACAAAAGAGGTCGCACACTGTCTCTAACCTTACGAGTAGTTTTCCATTAAAGTAACTAGTTCCTTTGTTCTATTTAGTTCACTCCTTCGTATATCTTATAAAATCATACGTTTAATATATGCTAAAACATTTCTGCCCTTTTCTATCTACACTTTTAAAATACAAATAATACTTCTTTGAAAAAAAATGATTAAAGTTGGACAAAGCTGTTCACTAAACGGATCTACACTTATCGTTTCTTTCATTTGGGAAAACTAGTTCCTTTTTTTCTATAAATTTCATCTTTTAGATAAAGATTCGAAATCAATAAATACTTCTTGAAAATAATGCTAAGAGTTGGACAAAGCAGTTCACTGAAAGGATCTTAATTTCTTGTTCCTTCCCTCTGAAAAGAACTAGTTCCTTTGTTCCACAAAGTTCACTCATTCTTTGTCTTGTTTCAAATATTTCTTCTTGTGCTTAAAGATTTCTCTCCATTCATAATTCATAAATATTTTTGAAGAGTTAAACAATACTGTTCACTAAACGGATCGATATTTCTGGGTTATTTCCTTAGGAGAAACTAGTTCCTTTGTTCTATTGAGCTCACTAATTCATGTGTCTTATTAACGCTTCTTTTTTTTTTTTTTTTTTTTGTTAAAGAGTTCTCCCCAAATCAAAATTAAGATATATTTCTTAAAGAAAATGCGAAGAGCTGGGCAATTCTGTCCACTAAACGAGTCGATATTTCTGGTTCATTTTCTAAAGGGTTCTATCAAGAGCACTTGCTCAGAAACTAGTTCCTTCATTCTTTTTTAGTTTACTTGTTCACACATTGTAGTAATTCAGTTATTTCCGTTAGTTTAATCGATATTTTTATTTTATTTTTAGCTAAATCATTATTTTTACTCATATCGTAAAACCAAATAAAAAATAAGATAGATGAACTTATGGAACTATATGAGCTGAAGGAACTAGTCATTTATACTTTTATATCATTGTCCACTTTTTATAAATTCTATTCTTTCTAAAATCTCATTATTTTTTTAATTTTTATTATTATTTTTTTCCTGCAGCAACAAAATCGCTATCGATTGGTCTTAAAATGTTGTCGATATTGACTTTTCACACCAAAGTCGATTTCGATTCTAATTTTTTTTTTTTTTTTTTTGGTTTTTTGTTCTGCTTTTAGGACTTTTTGTTTGGAATTATTAAAAAATATTGAAAATCGAAACTAAAAACATGGTAACCACTGCACATTAGGTGCCCAGCCTGAAAAGCCAGCCCAAAATATGTGTCGAAAATCGCACCAAAAAGTCGACTTTGCAATTTTTTTAAATTCTTCTGTCTAAATAGCCCTTAACCCAAAGTAACTCATTTAATTGCAAATCTGTCAATGTCAACACAAAACATCAATTTGTCAAGAGTATTAGGTATCCCTCAATTTTTGAACACAATTTTGTCTCTTGGGGTTTTGTTTTGAAATCTGATCGAACTTCTTTTTTGGCACTGGAATTTAAAAATAAACAAACGCATGCGTATTCGGGTGGCAGGCACAAGAATGCCAACGCGGCAAGTGTAAACAATATCTAATCGAAAAATAAGATCTCTAGATCTCAACTTGATAAATAAGCTGATTATTGAATGACGTAGCAAAAAAAAGTTTGAGAATTTAAAAAAAAATTAATGACATGATTTTAAATAAAATAGAGTCAGTAAAGAATGATTTTAAAAATTGAAAAAAATTAAGCGAGAAGGTATTTTATTTGCAATACGGGCAATTTTTTTGTTATGTTTTCATTTACACAATTTATTTGCTTTAAGATATTTTATGTTTTCATTTATAAATTTATTAGATTTTAGATAGACGAAGCCCTATGAATTGGGATTTCAATACACATTTCTTTGGCAATATTTTTCAAAACCAAAAAATTGTTATTATTCACAAAATTGTTTCATCACAGCACTTCAAATATCAACTGCTAAAGTTTTCAAAATATTTTCAAAAATTTTCTAATTTTTTTTTTAATTTTTTAATTTAACTTCTCTAATTAAATTATTTTTTACAATTTTAAATCTATCACCAAATGTTTTTTTTATTAGAAAATATTGAAATATCCCAAAATCAATGTCTGAAAAACGATTTCAATACACGCTAAACACGGAAGATCACAACACTACCGCTTGAAATGTACGAGCAAAATGACAACGTTCACCGATCAATGTTTGGAATATGAAAATCCGCCATGCAACGAAGATCATGCCATGAACATCATTTTGCAGAAATTCAATTGAAAACTATTCACATTATCATCGTTCACCCTTCGC